CGGGGAGGGGGTCTGCGTCCAGGGCCACCGCCTTGGCTTTGGCCTTCTCCTTTTCCCGATCCGTCTGGTTGACCGGGGCCGGCGCGCTCCGCCCACCAGCCACCTTGGAAGGCTCCTTCAGCCTGGAGGGTGCCAGTCCTGCCTGCTTGGTGCTGAGCAGGCTGGGGTCGATGCTGCTGCTGACGGGGCGCGGCCCGCCCCGCCCACCGGTCACGCTCATGGAGCTGGACTTGGCCGGCCGGGGCAGGCTGCGGTACTGGATGGTGGCTCGGGCTCCCGGGGCCAGAAACCCGGGCTCTGCGCTGTTGGACACATCCAGGCTGGTCTTGCGTCCACTCACTGGCTTCACAGGGATGCCCGAGGACTTCTGGATCTTGCTGAGCGTGGCTGAACCACCGGTCTGCATGACGGTGGCAGTGCCTGTGGCGGGAGGCTTCTTGTAGCCGAAAGACCCCGAAGTGGAGGGCCGGGCGAGGCCTGAGGGAGGCTTCTTGGCCTCGCCCGGGCGGTCCCGGCCGGCGTCCGAGGAGGAGCGCTGCAGCCCCGCGCTCCTCACGGCCAGCTTGCCCTTGTCCGCAGCTTTGCCTTCTGGCCGACCTGCAGGAGGTCGGACACGAGAGAAAAGAAACCAGGCAAGATCATCACAACGCTTTTCCTTCCATCCCTGGAGAAGGGAATGCGTCGACGTTGCACAGAACGTCAGGGGCCTCTGTAGGCACAGGGCAGAGGCTGCTGGGGAGCTGGGGACATTTACTGCCAGAGGGAAGGAGCCTAAGCGGGAGGAGCCTCGGGTTTCTGTTTGTTTCGTCCTTGCTGTTTTCTGCTCCAGGAGAACATTCCACTTGGGCTAAAATGGCAGAGGCAAGCAGAAAGGCTACTGAGAGGGAAGTGCATCCAGCAACTGCTCCAGGAGGGTGGAGGAGGGAAACAAGTGGACCGGAGAGGGGACACCCAATGGTAACTGGCCCCAGCAAATAGTCACCACGGGCCACCTGGGAGGGACAGAGGTCAATTTATCGTGCGCAGGGCCTCCGGGAGGTCACGCGAGTCCCCTGTGAAGGTAAGTCCCCGACCAAACGTGTTGGGTGGGGAAAGAAGCCAGGGGCGTGTCTGAGGGCAGGATGCCCGGGCTCTGACCGCTCTGACTGGACCCCCTCCCTCCCTCCTGGGCCTCTGATCGGACCTGCTCCCTCCCTCCCTCCTGGGCCTCTTCGCAGGTGTGTGACTTTAGCTCAGCCGCTCACCCTCTCTGGGATTTTATTTCCGCATTTGGAAAGCAGAGACGGTGGCAGCAGCAGAGCTAACTCACGGACCCCGCCTTGAGGGCCTGCTCACGTCCGGTGGGCTGGGGACCCCCAGGAGGAGGAGCAGCGGGGAGCAGGTCCCTGGCCGTGTGTCCCCGACTCCACTGCAGGCTCACCTGAGACTCTGAGGGCGCTCTGGGCTGTGTGCGTGATGGGGGACGTGACGGCCACGGGCGGGGTCTTGCCCTTCTTCAGGGTCCCGGGGTGACCCAGGCTGACGGGCTTCTTCAGGTCCCCGACTTTGGAGGAGTCGTCGCAGCTCTCGGGCCGCTCCCTCCGCCACTTAGAGCCCCCGGGCTCCATCTTCAGGCTGCCGCTGTCGTACTCCGGCTTCCTGGGGGCCTTGTCTTCTGACTCGCTGAACCAGCTCAGCCCGCTCTCCGCCAGGGAGCGCTTCTCCGAGTCCGTGCGCAGCTGCGTGGAGGGGGCAGAGGCTCATCGTGGCTGCAGGGGGCCCTGCGCCTCCCAGAGCCTAAGTCCACCCAGGGCTCCCCGCACGCCTCCAGGGACGGGGAAAGACACCGTGTGCACATCTCCCAGGGTTCTTTCCTGCCCGTACGGGCATCACTGCATGTGCTGTGGTCCCCGCTCACCGCCCACAGCTAACGTCTTAGGGGATGGCTGGGAGCGTGAGCTTTTCTTCCGCTGGCCCTGCGAGGACCTGGCCGAAGGCACGCGGGAAGCAGCGCCATGGAGCGGGTGAGAGCACGTGCACGCTCGCACGCAGGCACCGCCCCGGGGTCTGCACCCACGTACCGCCACCGAGGAGTCCCTGCGGGACGCAGTGGGCGTGGTCGGGAGCGAGTTGAGCGAGGAGCTGGCGTTGAACTCCTCTGAGCTCAGGTTGTCCGAGGCATCGCTGAGCCCGCTGCTGATGGAGCTGCTCTCATCCCAGCTGCGCACAGGGGAGAGAAGGGTTAGCAGCCCAAAGGGCAAGTGCGTGTTCCACGGGGGCGGAAGGGCTGTGTCCTGGGCCTGGGTCTGCAGGTAACTCTGTGTGCCACTCAAAGCGCCTTCTAGTTTGGCGAGGTTCTTCTATAAAAGGAGAAGACTGTCTTTATCTGGCAAAGGAAGACGTTACATGCCCTTAACAGAGACACGTTATAAAGACGAGGTCACCCTTACATCGACCCAATTAACACAAAGCCGGGCGCTCTCTGCGCCTTACGCCTGCACCGTGTAATCACCTTACCGTCGTGCTTTTTCAGACGTGCTCCCCGGCACTTTCCTACCTTTGCTAAATTTCTACATTTTTAAAATAGGGCCAGGAAAAGATCTGTCTTTTCTGGGCCCGCTTCGGCCTGAATGCTCCCGGGCGTACAGCTCACCTTCCCCTGGGGAGGGCCCCGCTTCTCAACAGCGTGGACCGCTTCTGGAGGGAAAGCACGCTTCCTGTGTGGCCAGGCAGAGGGGCCAAACTTGTGCACGGTTCTATTTTCCTGCCAGTCACTTGGGGTACCTGGTCTGTGGTATCTGGGGAAGGCTACTGTCAAACATTTGTGTCCGTGCGTCCTTGCATCAAGTGTCCTGGCCCACGTGCTAAGTGGCCTTGGCAAGGCCTCTATCTGTGTCCCTTTGGCTCCTCGTCATAACGGGTTTCACCGTCAGAGCCTCCTCGGCCTCTCAGGCCCACTTCCTCTCGTCCTGGCCTGACGGCCACTCGCCGGTCTCCCTCTGATCACACGTTCATTTCTAAGCTCACACTCCATCTCCTGCAGCTTCTCGTCAAAGGTCCTGTTTTCCAAGCCTCTCAGCACAGCTCTCCCTCCCTTCTGGACCCCGAGTTCTCCGGGTTTCGCTGGTGGGATGGCCTTGCCCGAGGGCCAGTCTGCGCCCGGGGGCTCTCCTCTCTGGATCCTCGTATCTGCGTCCACAGCGGGCTTATCGCCTCTGCGTGCGTGCAAGGACCAAAGAGGCTGGAGATTTTTTTTGTGAATTAGCCGGTATCTGGAAATTTTCTTTTTGATTTATTTTGAGTTTCTCATCGTGGAACAAAACTCAGACATGCAAGTCATCTGAGTGCTTGGCCCAGGTTTCGGCTGGCCTCCAAGCTATGTGCTGGGAATAGGGAAGTGGGTGGTTTGGACGCCTGGCTGGCTTGCTCTGCAGTGATTAATCCAAACAGTGAGAAAGAGCAGAGAGAACATGGGGCTTTGAACACGCTGCAGAGCGACTTCGCGTCTGCTACTATGAAACACAGCCACTGCTAAATGACAGTCGGCCTCTTTTTTCCGTGACCCACGACACAATAAAGCTCACACGTCCTGGGCCAAGACGCCCCACCCGCACTCTGCAGGGAAGGAACACCAAGGAGGAGAGCCCGGCTCTGGTTTTATGGCCCTGTCAGCCCTTTTGGGTCAAGCCGAGCCAAGCGAGCAAGCAGAGTCTTCGCTGCAAGTTCTTAGGCCAAAGACCGAGGAAGCCTGTGGCCGTGGGAGTGTAACGGCTGGGAATCGAGCTGGGTGCGGAGCCCGGCCCTGCGCTGCGGGCGCCTGACGCTGAGACGCGGGGCGGGGGGAGTCCACCTTGTCCAGAGCACACCTCTGCCAAGTCCCAGACTCTTCCTCCAGCCTGAAAGCGTGACCCCAAGGTCACCGGGGAAGGCTGGCTGCAGGACGTAAAGACGGGCCATGCTCAGTGCACTTTCTTTAAAAACATCAGAAAAGTAGTACACGCGTCAGCCAGGACACAAACAGCACGTGCAAATGCGGAGGGAAAGGAGAATGCCCCTTTCCGCTCGCTTCTACTTCCGGGGCGGAAGGTTACTCTGCTGCCTCCGTGAACACCCCGCGCATCTGTCCTCCGGCGGTGTGCGCCCCGGACCTGCCGACGGCGGCCGTGCCGGGACCGCAGCGCATCGCCTGGACGACCCCGGCCGGGCTCCGGTGTTGGAACCTCAGCCTCCTCCTTTGCTGGTTTGCGCTCGTTTGACTCAAGCGCCTCTTCCGGGAGGTTTCTGGAAACGGATGCTTGGCAAATAACCTCGAAGGTCTCACATACCAAGAACGTCTTTGTCCTGCTTTTGCACGTGAGGGTTGGGCCAGGCCTAGAGCCCTCCGCCGACCCTCTCGTTTCAGCAGGGGGGGTGTCGCCCCTACGCCGCGCCTCTGCGGCTGCCATTCTGCCTCCTCGGCCTCTGGCCCGTTTCCGTGCCCTCTGCCAACTCCAGGCCTCTCCCCTGCTGTCGGAGAGCACCCTGAACGACGAGGAGCACTGCAGGCCGACTCCCGCCCCTGGGGCTGGCTTCCTTCCTGGGCCTCTCGATCGTGCTCTTCGGTGTGGGGACGTTTTCCCTGACTGTGGCTCTGAGGGCTCTGTCCCCCCCGTTTTTCAGTTCTCTCTTCTAGAAGTTCTGTTACTCAGATGATAGGTCTCTAGGCTGATATTCTCGTATTCCACGTCTGTGTATACGTGTAACTCTCCTTTTTGGGCAGCGACCTCAGTTGTATCTTTCCTTGCCTGTCGCTTTGATTTTCGCTTCTGCTTTAATTCCCGGGGGCACTTTAAAAACCTGCACATCGCTCTTTCGAGGATGCAGTCTCTTCTCCTAATGAGACGTCCGCGCGGTCCTTTATTCAGAGGAGCAGCCTGACCATCTCTTCGCGTTGGTTCCAGCTGCTTTATTGTTTGTACTGGTGAGACTTTCAGGTTACAGACCTGCTCAGGTACCTGACGATCCTGGGCTGTTCGGACACTCAGTTCCGTCCGAGTCCACAGGGAGCCTTGTGCTCTCCGGCGGAAGCTGCTTCCTGGCCCCACTGTCTGCAGAGTCCCCCTCCTCCCAGCACACACCGAAGATGGTCAGGAGCCCGGTCCCCCAAAAGTGTAGCATTTACCAAAACCTTCCTTAGCACCTCGTTGCTGATGTAACAAAACCAAATTCTACAACCGGCTGCTGAAGACTCTCCACAGCCGTTACCCACATGGCGCGTGACCACGGGCACAGCCCCGCAGCCAGCGTCTGAATTCCCATCCTACGAACTCGCCCAGGGTCACGTCCGACCCCGACCGGGCAGACATTCCCTGAGGCCCTGATGTCTGCAGGGCAGTGTCCATGGTATGGAAAACGAGTGACCGTCCAAGATGAGCTCACGACCCAAGGGTGGAGCCGACCCATAAGGGGGACGAATGCCACAGAAGTGCAGGCGACGTGCATGAGGGTGCGCGGGAAAAACCCCTTTAATTCTCCCGGAAAGGCCCGAAGCGCGACCACGCCGCGGCAGGGTGCAGATAAACTCAAAGCGCGTCCCCGTCCTCTGTCCCCTGCACTCCTGTCGGGTGACCAGCTGTCTCGCCGAGTTTCCTTATGGAAACGGGCCTGCAGGAGGAGCCAGGCTCCCCACCCCCCCAACGTTGACCCGGGTGGGCTGGAGATCCTGGCGTAATCGCAGGGCTTGGCAGTGATGGATGTGAGCCCCCCCACACTTGCTATGGGTTCTCGGGTTCCCCGCAAGCTCCGCATTTTGAACTCTCACCTTTCATCAGAGCCCAGCTCAAATACCAGTTTATTCCAACACTATACCATTCTTTTCAACAAGTTAGCCCCCTGGGTGCCGATTCACCAAGCCCGCCCCCTGGGGCTGTGAGAGCGGCACCTGACTCCTCCCCTCATTCTCGTGCCCACTTCCTAGCACTAATGCCACAGTCCTGGGAGCACGCTGGTGCCCCCACTTCTGTGGAATGAAAAGGAGGACTGTGAACAGGCCAGCTCGGCCAAACACTGCCATGTGTGTCTGCGGACACGTGGAGAGGCACGGGGCAGGCCGCTCCCCACCGCTGGGAAAAGCACCAGCACTAACGGGGCTGCTGGCTGCGGCCGGCCGCCCCTCCCAGCCTTCCCTCTCGCAGTCTGTTCCCGCGTTTCAGGTCCAGCCATCCGCAGCCAGAGGGCCCAGGGTGTGGCGAGCCAGCTGGGAGGGCGGGCCAGCCTGTGACTGCACACGAGAACCCTACGGCTCTTCTGGCTCCACGTGGTTCTCGGGAGTCAGGCCTGAACACTGGCTCGGTCTCCTCTTGGCTGGGACGCGTGTGCCTAGTGGCTCAGCGACCAGGCTGCTCTGACCATCCCCGCTTACTGGGCGAGGCTCCGTACAGGAAACCTACTTTCTCCTCTGAGAGTGGAGACGTATCTGCAACACAGTGCCAAGGCTTAGCATGAAAGGACAGTGCAGTGGATCTCAGCAACTTTATGTCATATTAAAATATTACGGGTTAAACATGTTACTGTAATTAATTTCACCTGCTTTACCTTTTAAAAACACGACTATTAGAAAATTTAAAATGACAAATGTGACTCCCATCCCATTTCTATTGGACAGCGCTGTCCCGAACAGGAAACGTATGGTAAGTGAAGCGTTGGCTTTGAGGCGCAGGTTCATTTGCTGCTACAGAAGCTACGGCCGGCCATGGCCTGAAAGAGCTAGGGCTGGCGGGTGAACGCCGCGTACCCTCTCACTGGCACCCCAAGTGCTAAACTTGCTGAGGACACACGTGAAATTATTAGCCACAGTCCTCAGAGAGCAACCAAGAGGTTAAGGAGAAGAGATTTTAAAAACAGACAGCGGAAGAGTCGGCGCAAAACCAGGCAGCCCTGCGATGCTCAGCTGTGAGAGCAAATCCCGGCCATGGAGACCGGCCCCCTACGCCAGCCCCGCCAGCACCTCTCAGAGTCAGTAGCCTCTCCTGCCCCCGACCCCCACGCGGCCTCAGAGCGCCCCAAGAGCCGGGGGGAGACAGCGTCTGCTTCATTACATGTCTGTGGTTTGGCAGAGACCACAGCAAGCCAGGCCAGGGGAGGAGGGGAGGAGCGGGGCAGACGATGAACGGCGCAGTCAGGGGCTTACAGGGAGCGGGTCGGAGCGGAGACGCAGCCGATGTGAATTCTCTGAGCTACGG